ATATATATATATGAGGGAGAGAGAGAGGTGGGCCAAAATTAAATCTAAAACCAAGAGAGAGTAAAAAATCTGAAATGTTAGTGCTCCCTTTAGACAATCAAAACCACTGAGACACTCTCTGGGGTTATTTCTTTGATAAATATCCTACCTGTAAGTGTGTTGTTCTAAGGTAGCAAACTTCATCTCTCTTCGGGGAGGGTGGGGCTGCAGTGAAACATAGCTCAGGAGGATTAAAAATAACAACAGCTGGTCTTCAGGACGCCATGAGGTGCTCAGTGTCACACTACATCAAAGATCCAGACCAGCAGTTTCCTAACATCTCACACAGTTGCAATTACATCTGTTCGTAATGGGCATGACTGTCATGTTTCAGATTTTAATAGGATTGAACTTTTCATTCCACCCTATTTATTTCAGGGTGGTATGATTCTAAACCAACCTAAGCACTGGGTTCAAAAAGTGAAATTTGTTGTAGATTCTCTTTAATCCACAGGGTCAACTCATACAGACAGGCTCAAATACAACCCCCACTATTTCACTATGTGCAATTATCCTTTAGCAAGTTGCACCTTGACCAGACATTTTTAGCATCTATCAACAGAATTTGTAGAATTTATTTATATCTGCTGGTTTCCTGGCACAGAGATGGTTTGGAAAGGACATTCCAGAAGCCACGATGTGCCTGGAATCAGTTACTTGTTGATCCATCCACTTTGTGCATTGTGGCCAAATAGTTCAAATGTCTTGTCTGACCATAAAGTGTTTCTTCAAAAGGCATTTGGCTTGTCCATTAAACTTAAAGGTGTCAGTTTTAGAGCAGTAAATTCTTTCTAGGTCAATGGAATAAATACATTTATTTAAAAAATCCTGACAGCTGGGACTTTGGTTCAGACTTTTTACTTCTTATCTATGTAGCTTTCTTAATTCATAACTGGACAATGTAGAGTTTCCAGCTTTTTAAACTGCATGAGAAGCTCTGTTCTATAATCTAGATTGAAAGTTATTTGAGTGAGACTGACTGGTTGTAGGTTTTAAAAAGCTGCAATCTAAAGCATCTTCTGTTTAAAGTTGCTTTTTCTTGTTTTCCATAAATAACTTCATTTACTCCACCTCCCCTCCAAAACCCCCTGTCTTCTTTGTCCTTTTGGTTTTCAAGAGTGTCCTTTATCCTTGAGGTATAGGTACTGAAGTGAATCATGTCCTGAAGAGCTGGCTGTGAGCTGTGTTGAGCCGTGCATCTGTAGAGAGGCTGTTCAGTTTCTTCAAAATTCAATTCTATAAGGACACTGTACAAAAACCAATCAATCTAAGAAGCCAGCAGACTGCGTTGACACAGTCTCCCATTCTGAGCAAACAGCACAACTAAGGAACAATAAAGGGAACCAGCCCTTACTATAGGATTTATCAAAAATGAAAGTCGTAGTCATGGTAGTCTAATCATAAAAATAGACAGAGGCCATGTCTCAATTCAGGGATTGTAGTCCTGGTAGGGTGCATTATGTCACTGCGTCCCAGTTTGTAGATGCCTACTGACAAAAACCCTGAAAATGTAGGCTGCATCTGAATATTCTATTATATCCCAGGATGTTTGTGCCRTCAGCAGACTAAACAGAAAAACAAAGACATCTAAGGACAATTTTTTTATGGCAGAGTTTTGTTTTCTTTCTACGGTGGAGTTTCCTGTAGTGTAAAGCACTTTGGGGGTCTTATATAAGTTCAGTCCATTTACCATTTTACCACTTGAAATTATGTGAACAGATAGTCTACCTCCCAAACTATAAACCTTTTTTTTTACTTAACTTTAAAAAACACTCGAAGCAGCTCTAAGGATGTATTCACACCTGACACATTTGGTCTGCTTTAAATGGACCACAGTTCCMCTGTTGATCTGGACCTTTTCTGCAGGTGTGAATACATTCATGTGAACCCTGGTGCAGATCAAACATACAGACCAAGACCCATTTTTGAGGTGGTCTTGGTCTGCTTCCAAACAAACTCTGGTGTGGCTTGTTTCTGGTGTGAATACAGACCGGCCACGAACCAAAYCAACTACAGGAAACATGCACCTTTTTTGGACTTCACAGGGCACCATAGCTAAGCAACATTAGCCCTTCAGTGTTGCTAATGCTAACATTACGCTACAAACAAAACCGTTGTGGGTCAGGGAACATGGAGCATCTTGTCTCCTTTAGGTTGTGGCACACATTTGACAACACTGTTCCAAAGTTATTGTGAAACCTCCACTGAATGAGCTGCTCCTGATTCTTAATAGTCAGTTGTATTAACAGCACCATTGTTGTTTCTGGGTCTGTTCTCTGTCCTGCCCTTGACATTTCTGTCCAATGGGAGCAATGATTAGCTGCATGGCTTTGTTTGTAAATTATATTGTGCCGTCAGACAGACTGAAGGCAGATTAAACAGAAAAGAAAGGTGACTAAGGATTCACAATGTGAATGCAAACTGCACCAAAGGAAAAAAAAGTCTGCTATTAGGTCTGGACCTAACAAGTGGGCCAAAGGACTTTTCTGGTGTGAATACACCTTTAGATTCTAAAAGCTGCTCTGAGTTATCCTGGTAAAAACCAGACCCTCCCTGTCCTTCACTTTGCTTCGTACGAGGGTCTGGACTCTCTGCTATAGAGAAACGATTCTTGCTGGAGGCGTGGCCTCTGCTGAAGTGTGTGTGTGTCGCTGTGAAGGAGGCTAAGCTAAGAAGCTAACTAGAAATAGCAAGCGCTGTAAACAACCCTACTGAGAGGAGAAAAGGACCGAGCTGAACGAGACGACTGTAAATGAGAGCTGCTGTTTTGTCATACAAACTTAATTTAATCTGGAAGCCTTATCAACATGGACTGGCTTCATTCACTTCCTCCACTCCATTGCTAACTAACTAGCAGACACTGCGCAGAAAATCGACGTCATTCAAAACTCCACCTTCTGTTTGCTGATTGGCCCAGGTAAAATAAACTACATGCAGACACTGTGTAGAAAATCGACGTTCTGTTCTCTGATTGGCCCGGCAAAAAATCTGCCAGCGAAATCCTTGTCTATGGGAGAAATGCCAGACGGAGCAGTGAAGGGAAACTAGAATTGAGCGGAGCTGCGTGGGAAGGCAAGGACCAGGCTAGCTCTGAGTGCTTTTTATAAGTAAAAAGATAAGAGTTGAAAATCATGTGTTTGTGGAAGGGTGGGGTGCTCATTGGCAGGCCAGACGGAGGTCACCCGTGGGCCACATGCAGCCCATGGGCCACCAGTTGGCCATCTTTGACATAGACTAACCTGTAAACACAGAGATTTGTCTTGCAGCTCAACTCCCTCTCACTACAGTTAAGTTGCACAGTAGAAGTGTCTCATTCTCCCTCACTCGTGAACAAAACCAGAGGAAGTTAAAATCCTCTCAAAGACAAACGAGGAGAAGTCTCAAATTTGAGATTTCCAAAACATATACAGTAGAGCAGCAAGCCTGAAACTCAGTCCCATTCTCTTATTTACACCATCATGCATGTGACCAAAGCATCTGCTTTGTGAACCAGGCAAATAAAGACCCTAACAACTCCCCATTGTAAAGGGAGTCTATTCAGCACATGAATCTAGATAAAATCCATTAGAATAGTTTGGATCTTTCTCCATTTTTTAATAATTGATAAAGCTCCCTGTATGGTAAAAAATAAAATGGTAAATGGACTGTACTTATATAGTGCCTTTCTATCCATCCAAGACACTCAAAGCGCTTCACACTAAAGACATTCACCCATGCACACAGCTGCCCTGGGGCACACTGACACTGAATGGGAAAGGAAACATTTTCTACTAAAGAATATAAGTCCAAATGCTTTCTTTTTTCTTGTATTAAATTTTTTATTTGTTGTGTGAATGCCTCAAGCATTCACACTATTGTTTTCATGTTTCTCTTTATWCTTTATTATTCCAGTTTCTTCCGTGCGTTTTTTGGACCGCTTCTCCTTCCACAATTTTTGTGCTACTTAAACCATTCATATAATAAAATGTTCAGCTCTTTCAGGACATTCCGGCTATGA